ATTTATAGGGTGCAACAGGAAGGTTGCCCTTACCCATTCACACATCCAGCTCCATCATCCCTTGTTGCAGAGGAAATACAGACCCATCACTGACCAGGTGTCCGTTCTTCCCCTGCAGACAGAGAGGGTTGCAAAATCGATGCTGTCAGCAGAACGGCATATTCTTCATTGGCTCTCAGCCTTCAAATTCATAACTACGCTGCTATAATGGGTGGCTACTAATTCTTTTTGTGGGAAAGGATGTTCTCTTATATTGACCTCCTACCCGACGACAAGAAATCACTTGCCAAACTTCAGGAAGAAGCCTTACACTTGTCGAAACAACAGAGTCATGCAGCAGATTCTTCTGCCAGGGGCCATGGCATCAGCTGTAGTGCTTCGCAGACATTCATGGCTTTATTCCATTGCTCTCCTGTTGAAACATGTCAGAAAATCAAAGACTTTCCCTTTGAAGGTACTACCCTTTTTTCTGCCAAAATGGATGATGTCCTTTCACAGATCAAGAAGAACAAGCAGACAGGCCATTCATTCAGTATCTCTGCATCAAATTCACAGTTCCACCAAAGGGCCTCCATGAAGCCTTAATACCATCCATACAGCTGTTACCAATCGTCACCACCATACACAGTATCCTCAATAAAGAGTTTTCCAGTAGCCTCAGCAGCAGGCCAGGCAAAGACCCCACCATAGATCCAGATCCCTGGGGCAGCAACAATCACAACAGCCCTCCAAGGATACCTCCCTGGGTCAAAAGGCCCCCTTCTGACTAGAGGACTGACTGTTGAATGCACAACCCAATTTCCTTGATAGGTTGGCAACAACTGACATCTGATGTGTGAGTTCTGGCCATTGTTTGTTTCAGTTACCATTTAGAGTTTGTTGAGCTTCCCCCTTTGGAACCCCCCTCTTCTGCCTTAGACAACACAATGCCTGAGCTCAACTCTAAGCTGAAGGTCCTCATGTCTAATCCCGTCCAAAACCTCCAGGGGATTCTATCCAGATACTTCCTGGTCCTGAAGAAGGATGGGGGTCTCTAGTCTATCCCAGGTATAAGGGGTCTTAACCTTTTTGTGATAGTTAAAAAGTCTACAAAAATTAATGTTTTCTGCTGTGTTGCCTGTTTTGCAATTAACGCTTGGTTTGTTGTACTAGATCTGAAGGACACTTACTTTTATGTGGCCATATATCAGGTTGCTACAAGTTTCTGTGATTTAAGTTCTTGGGCATGGTATACCAATATACAGTACTTCCTTTTGGGCTTGCTTCAGCCCCGCATGTTGCAGCTTTATGAAGTCTTTATGAAGTGTATGGCTGTAGTAGTAGCATATCTTAGATCTCAGGGCTGTTCTATCTACCCCTATCTCAATGATTGGCTGATTACTGCTCCCCCTCTAGGGATTGTCTCTTAAAGCATTGATTCTTGAGACTTTGCAGAAATTGGGCCTGATGGTCAACTTTGAAAAGTCCAAATTGACTCCTGCCCAACAGGCACCTTTTACTGGTTCTCTCCTGGACTCCTCAGTGAGAGGGGCTTTTCTTCCTGAGGCTAGAGCAGATCATATAAGAGCTATGGTGTATCATGTGTCCAGAAGATGCTACCAGTCAGCCCTCTTTTTGCAAAAGTTACTAGGCCTTATGGGCCTCTACAGTAGCTACCATCCCACATGCATGCCTTAAGATGAGGTCTCTCCAAAATGGTTTGTTAGAAGGCTTAATCCCACCAGACACTTTCAGAGACTGAAGTTCTCCTTACCACATTATGTAGTATGATCATTGTGGTGGCTGATAGAGGATCATTTATCCCCTGGGATCCCCTTTGGGCTACAACAGCCCCAAGTAAGTATCACCACTGATGCTTTGCTAGAGTGGTGGGAAGCACATTGTGCTCCTCTCTGGGTATAAGGCAGAAGGCTTCCATTTGAATTTTTTTTACATATTAACCTGATAGAGTTGTGTGCTATTCATCATGTCCTTAACTCCTTTTCAGTATTTGTCAGGGGCCAAGTTCTCCAGATCCAGACAGATAACAACTATGTGTTATGCCAGTCTCCCTCTCATTTTGCCAAGAAGTGATGACTATTTGGAAGATGGCTGTCATCCTTGAGGCTTAGCTGCATGCCATCCACATTGCGGGGTCCGAGAACATGATGCACTCAGCAGAATGAGCAGCTCAGATCATGAGTGGTCCATTGAATTGGATAATCTTTTGCCAATTTTTGCTCATTGGGGAACTCCAGCAGTGGACTTGTTTGCTACAAGGAGCAATGCCAAGGCCAGAAAATTTTGCTCCAAGGCCGGGAGTGACCCTTGGTCTATAGGGGATGTATTTCAAATCAGACGGCAAGGGCCCCTATTCTGTGCCTTCCCTTTGTTCCCATTAATCCCCAGGGTGCTGGCCAAGATCTTAGCAGACTGTACATGGTGCATACTGGTGGCCCCTCTTTGGCCAAGGCAGATGTGGTTCCAGACTTTCATGCTGCCCTCCTGGGGGAGACTCTTGCATTTCTCTCCAGCCCTCAACTTGTTACTCCGTGGCCCCACTATTCATTACAAAGGGCACAACTTGTGCCTGACAGCCTGGCTACTGAACCCTCCAAATGGAAGTTTCCGAAAC